AGAAAACATTAACCATTAAGATTAATGGTTAATAAGAAACATTAGCATTAATATAAAATTAATGTTAATGGCCCACCCCTACTTATGGATGTATATATTAATACACAAAACAACTGAAACACGTTGCTTAGCTGTATCGGGCATGACTGTGCGCATAACGCCGAAACAGAAAGGAGGAAAGAAAAAATATGCATCGTTAATGAATATGAATGAAGTGAATAGTCATACTTGATGAAAAAGGATGCGTTATTTAAATAAACACTAGTAACGCTTGAGTTGTCGTGGCAAGATACTATTCATTCGATACTAATTATAACACGAAAAAGCAGAAAAAATACCAACCCAGTGGTGCGCAGCGTTCCGAATGATGAGTGTGCCAAGCAAAATCAGAGTGCCTGGTGCATGCACTACTTTTGATTTGCATGCTACACTGAAAAAAAATAAGCACTCTACGAACTTAAAAGGGTTCCGAGATTTGTAACGAATTCGAAACCATTTTTCTTTATCATACGGAACCTTCGAGGTTCTTCAAGGGTTTCATAAAGTCTCAGAAAACCCTTAAAGATATCGGAGACTCCGACACAGGTTTCGTGAGACTATACGGAACTTTGAAGGTTCCGTACGACATCGCAAAAGGGTTTCGAATTCGTTGCAAATCTCGGAACCCTTTTAAGTTTCGTAGAGTACTTATGTTTTTTTCAGTGTTTTTTACACTTTACTCGAAAAAATAGAGTGCAGCAATTGCGCTCTCTTCTAACATTTTGCATTTTGTTTTATACGTTTATTTATATTGGTTGTTTCAGCTTTACAATAACTTTTTTTGTTTATTATGTTCTTTGATTCAAACCAATAGTGTTTTCTTTTTCTTATTTTAGAAAAAGAATGAATAAAGGACGGCCACACTCATCCAGATCGAAATACCGTACACCAACACTTCTAGAAAAATATTGGTTTTGCGACGACTGCGTTGACGTTCACAATGAAGAAGAAAATAGTGATTATGATGATAAATGAGTCAGTTATGTTTTTGTTTCTGAAATTAGCAGTAACTATTATATAGCTTTTTTTGTTTTTTTTATTATATATATATTTCGTGAACTAAAATGAGTATCTAGATGTATAGATAATCCCCATTGTTGATTTAGTTTTTGTTAGTCTTGCGATTTAATGATAATTTATGTGTATCTTTCTTTTTTAATTGTATTTGCAAATTTTGTGACTAAATGATGGTTTTCATATTGTTTTTGGTGATTATTTACATGTACGCATACTCATAGAAACTTGGAACATAAAATATAAACTATTATTTCTTTTTTTCTAGATAAATTTATACATTTGCACTGTGCTGCACTTTGGTTCTTGAAACAGAGTGCAACATCGCCTTTTACTTCTAATTCCTATTCGGAACACTGTTGGTGAGAGATGGCCGATAAAAGATACATTTTATGATTGCCGATTTATTAGATCAGTGCATGTATAGCTTGTCGATGGCGTCTTATTTTTCTCATGATTACCGAAGTAAGCAAAAAATGAAGGGAGACTGCCGACATGACTAGTCAGAAATGTCCGTAGCTGCCGTCAAGTCTAGTCTGAAACGTCTTGCATACCCGTCTTGTCTAGTCAGCTGAATGAGGAGTGTCTTACACACACGTCTGTACTAGTCTGAAATGTCCTTGAACCCAGTCATGTCTAGTCCGTGCTGTCTGTTGACCTAGTCCAGACTAGTAAGAAGATTAAAAACAGAGGTTACACGGTGGATTTGAACATCCAGCCCGACAGTGTTCGAGATATGGCGGACATCCTGGCGGGAGACTAGGACACTGAAATAGACTGCCGTAAGTATATATAGTCTAAACTTATATATTGACTCCCATCCATGCATAGAAAATGAGAAACAAACCGACGTAAACGGTATTGACTGGTCTGAAGCATCTTTTGGACACCTCATGACTAGTCCGTTTTTAAGAAGTGTTTATTTTACTCAATGCTTATCGAATTTTTTCTAGTTAAAAGGACAATTAGAGAGTCTGCTGTAATCAATAGTGCATTCGAAAAGATTTAATATATTGCGTGCATCTCTGTCTTGATATATTTTATTTTATTTTGCATTAGCTAATGCTAAAAGTTTAAGAGTGTATCAAAACATAAAATAGTATGGGTTAGTACTAACAACAAAATTCATCTCGCATCTAGGAGTACTAATTTATATATTTTTTCAAAATGTGAGATGTACTAAATTTAAAAAAATTGAGAAGCATCTAAATCTTTTTCATATAATACTATTATTTAGTTAATTTAAAATATCAATTGTAATAATTTAAAATAAATCAAAGATAATTTAATTATTAGATGAATATACGGTGATTTAAATTTAAAACTAAACTAAAAAATAATATGAAAAAAATTAGCTTCCATTCCATACAAATATTTTTTAATTTTATAATCAAATTAATGTTTTTAAAACGCAACTAATTAATCGCAGTTGCTTATAAATCAAAATATATTTGTTGAAAAAAATATAAAATCTTCTTAAACTATTTTTATTTAATGTTATCTAAAGTAATTGAGTCTCGGTAAAAGACAATTTTATTGATACATCAAATTAAAAATTCGGAGTAAAAATTGTATTAAATAACATCTTAGAATGATCATGAGTGTGTAGAATATGACTTCACGATCATATGGCTCAATGGTTCTGGCGACGGGTAAGTGTCACATTGTATACATGTTCGAATCTAATCTTCATCCTTACATATTTTCATTCAGACTAGTCCAGACTCGTCCACTATATAAGGCTACAGCTAGTTGTATACTCGTCCCAGACGCCCTTAATTTTTCATTCATAGACCATTTTCGGACGGGCGACAGGGACACTCGTCACGACTACTCTTATTAGATTTTATGACTAGTCGTCAATCAGAGTACTAGGACGCATATGCATGACGGATAAAAACTCGGACTAGTCGTGGACGAGTAGTTTTTGAGACAAAGACTAGACGGGGCGGGTCAACTTGACTAGAAAAAAGACTAGTCCTTTAACCAGTCTTTTGCTCACTTGGGTAATCTGACACTAGATTCATTATTTAAATATTCAATCATTTTTGTATGAAGAATGCAAATTCCTCTTGATGTTAAATATTTTGCTATTCGATTGATATTCTGGTTGACATCACACAACAACGCTGTCCAATATTTTTCTTTTTGTCATTTTGATTATCAGAAATGTCTGATACTGCGACAACCACACCTTCAAGCATTGCATTCGGTTTTGTATTGGAGATGTTTGTATTTTCAGTCATATTAAGTGTACGCTTCATGAATGAAAATCGTAGATTAAACAAGATTAGCAAGAAAAATAAAAGAATGAAATGAGATTAGAATGAAGAAAAATAATGAAAAGAATAGTGCGCTTATGTTATTGTTGTGTACATGACATTTTGCTGTAGTACCATTTTTTTTCTTCATATTTCACATTTAGAATATGACTTTATGTAAGGCGTTCTTAAATCATAAGACAAGAATCTTAGGTACAGGATTTCTGTATTCTGTTTCTTTTCGAAGTTGATTATTAATTTTTTTCTTACAAATTGACTAAAAATTGATTTAATATTAAATGCGTTGTATACTTGATATGATTGTTGAAGCAGATATGATTTTATACAGTTATGATGTATCTTGTTTAGAAAACAAATGTGAAGTTTATCTAATAATGAGTTTGATCAAATCTAGTGATATTTTGCGTTAGCAATTAAAGTATACAGATGTAGTACTTGCATCAGAAAATAATTTGAGAGATTGATGAGTTTATAAATTATTTCTCAATTGTGTGATTAGTGAATGTAAAATTGAATGCAGATTTTATGTAGATTTAAATATTGAAAGGTGTTTACGCAAGAAAGTGAAAGAAATATATTATACGTTCAGTAAGTTACGAGTTAGATAAATTTAATATAAAGAAGAAGACTATATTTTAAGAATAAATTTGAAATTATTGTTTTGCATGAGTTTTCAATGTATGGAGACAGAATATCGTATATATTATAATTAAAATAAAATGAGATAATAATTCAGGAATTACTTATGTTATGCAGAATTCGGAGTATAAGCTGGAAGTATTAAGTTTGATTTTCGAGGATCGTATTAACCAATGTATGGTTGAAACATTGTGAATGCTATTTACTTGAAGAAATTATTCCTTTTGGATGTTAACATCATGAAATATTTCAGAAATCTATTGATATGATAAATTCGTTGGACGAAAGCTATGGCATTTACGAAGTATATCCTCGAGGGTTTTAATGCTGTTTTGTATTTAGTTGGAATATCAAAAAGGAAAAAAATGCGTATTTATCAATATGGATATACAGTTCCGTTATTACGATCAGTGTTCGCTATGAGCGAATCAAGTAATTGTGCAACAATAAGCTTAGAATATAGTGTAAATTAAGAAGAATATGTGTTACTGAATGATGGTAACTAAAGCAACATTTACATATAGTTGTTATTGATTTATGTTATTTTAACATCGAGATGGAGTCTTATTTAATTTTTAGAATTCAAATTAGTTTATAAAGTTCAGAATTTTTTTTTGTACAGAAAATGAATCACAGTTGTCGCCAAAATATTGTCTTTGAAACCAGTACGCTCTTTCTGGTTGAGATTCTTTGCAATCTTCAATGCGTGTACTAAGAAATGTATTGATATCAAATTCATGTGGACAGAGAATATTGAAGCCACGTTGTTGGTATTTATATAAACGAGGAACTCTTCTGCTGAATTGTGATGGAGTAACTGGTATACAATAGCATGTTGTGTGACCAGAATTTAATGCCTGCAAACAACTAAATGAAATAATTACTTTTTTTGAATCAAAAGCAGCTGCACATATATCAAGATCGAATGAATGAAGAATTCGTGAGATGCTGATAGGACTCATAGTTGGACGAATAAGTTGAATAATGACCGATGGAGAGAAAAATTTGCCACTGAAAATGTCGTTGATAGTAAATTTTCGATATAAATCAAATTGAATTAGTCTATTTGACCAAATGGTTTTGCGTCGCACAAAATATCTAGTTTGTAATCGAGTTTCTAATTCATTCTAAAGTATTGAAGAAGAGTCGAAGAATTACTGGAAGAAATAGTTAGTTGTATTTAATCTTATTTCTATTTATTTAATGAAATATTGGATTACTACGTTATACATAAGTTGGATTAGTCGAGGTTATTTTGGAGGAATTATGGTTGAAAATTTTGCTTTTTGAAATTAATCCATTTTACTGTAAATGTAATTCCTTTTATTTATTTGTAAGTGTAGAAATTTGAAGCTGATTTTTTTGTGTATATGGAAGATTATGAATACTATATCTGACTAAGATGATGTGCGTGTTTTATGAAAATAGCAACAGAAAATAAATTTGATCTAAAGAATATGTTTTACAATATTAAGGTACATATGATTTAAATTAGTTATTTTTTGTTGTTGATAATGAAAAAAACACAATATGAAAGCTTACTACAGCGTTTTTGAACAGTCGTGGATTTTTTTTGAGAAAAAATAAATCGATATCAGATGTGTTTTCAATCAAAGGTTGAACAAGTAAACATGAAACAATTGAGCCACCAGCAATAACAAATAGATTCCAATCTATATAACTTCCCCATATATCATATTCATATCCATATTTAAGATTTTTCATAAATTGATTGAAATTCATAACTAGTTGTGGTGATGATTAATTCTTTCCCCAAACTTTGAATAATGCACATTCGTGAACCGATAATGAACGTGGTTCAAAAACATCTATTCATATAGATTGTATAAAAATTATATTTATATATGTATGCAATCATGTATATATTTTTATGGTTTGTTTGTTTATTAGTCTCTTTTATATGTCATTTCTTTTATATTGAAATCTTTTAACTATTCAATCTTTATTTGTTTTATAAAGAACTGTTTACTTCTATAGATTATATTGAGTTTTTTTACGATAAAGAATGGCTATTACAATAGTTTAAGCAAAGAAATAGAGAAAACTGAAGTAATTGATAATTGATGTATGTGAGGCTATGGTGTGGATTATATAATTTTCAGAGTTTTTTTTATGTACGGCTTAGATTAAAAAAAATATCATACATGAATATTCAAAAATATCCAAAGTAGGATAACATGAATCATAATAAAATGGATTAAATCCCCATAGTCGACAGTATAAGAAGAACAAATCTGTCGAATAATATTTCAATGATTTTTTGATCACTTGTAACTTGAATGGTCCATAAACAAAGTTATTCCATTTACATGAAGACAATACAAGACTGATGCCATTTTCAACAATCATATAAGGTGATTTTGACATGTGAATTAATGATTTTATTTCTTTTTGAAGTGATAGACTAGACTGTAAGCGTAGTAATTGCGTTAGATGATATGTAGTAATAGCAAGATGGTAGTGATTGAGTAATGTAAAATGAAAAAGGTCCATTCCAGACAATTGTTCGCTTATAAGATCAATTATTTCATTAGGCAATACAGATAAAATAGATAAATCCATCACACGATGTACACAACTTGAATTGAAAAACGAAAAAGATCTAATCTAATCAAATTAATAATTGAAAGTAAGTAACAAGTATATTTCGATTTTGTTGAGCGCTTAAACGATCCATTGAAATAAGTTTATGAATGTTAGCAAAACTTATTAGTTTGATTCAATAAAATGAGTGTACGATTAAACTTACTAGTAAGTTCTTTTATATCAATTTAAATATAATTTGGATGTGAATGAAAGTTGACCTCCATTATATATCTATATAGTGGTTTAATTGTAAGATCATTTTTATGAAGTATTTTTTTTGCAAAATTTTAGAACATATATTAGTTGTCTATCAACGCTACACTATTCTTATGAGACATCGACTAATGTGATGAAAAGATTTGGAGTCATTATCAATAAATCGATATTCCTATGACAGGGAAATCAACTTGTATTTTTCTTTTCACCCACACCCTTTAGTCAAAATGTATCGTAATAATAAATTAAGTTATATATTAAGTTTGTGAATAAATAGTTAAAAGTTCAAGATCAACTGGTGAATCAGGTAAAGCCAATAGTCTTGTTGCAATGTTTTCTATTGAAATCTCTTCATTACAGTCATCTGGTATATGTTGCATAGTCAAGTAGATATTACAGCCAGATTCTAAAAGTGTACTGATGAACGGTAATATATCTTGATGATAAATACGCTGATGATACATTGGATGTTTGGAATCAATTTAAAAAAAATAATCTTTTGCCAAACGAAATCGACGTATACAGCAATAATGATAAGTTTGTTGAATAAGAAACGCTTGAATATTTTGAGTATTGGACAATATTAGAGTTCGAATAGGACAACTATTGTTTTCTATTTTATGAATTTGCATAAGGTCGATATTTAACATATTACGAAGAGCAATTTCTAAAATTTGAATATCATAATCTCCACTGTTTTCATAATAGTAATCTGTAGTTTTTATGAATTCTCCATGTCGATATATTTGCTCAGTAGCTGCTCAGCCGAAACGCAGGTAACGCACGGACGTTTTTTCAACTTCGAACGATTGTATCTCGATAATGGTAAAAGGAAAAAGCTTGTAAATTTCAACACTTATGTAAGTCGACAACTTCTATAATACCTGAAAGTNATGTTTACTCTTTTCTTTCCGTGTCTCTCATTTACATTTTGAGAAGCACTTCCAAATCAAGCCTAGACCCTGGTGACCAGTAATCAGTTTCAGTCATATTTTCCAGCCTTACGTATGCTGTCGAACCAATCAAAATAGAGTTTCTTATGCAGAAAGTTGTGTTTTACAAGATGGTATAGTTTGTTTTGAAAACAAAACAACTTCTACTTCAATCATGTTGGTTGACCGTTAGCCGTTTTGGCTGTGCTATGTTTTGAGCAATATTTATTAAATAATCGTCACTAAATAGTTCAAGATTTTGTGAAAGTGCACGAAGGGCATGTCGTCCACAGTAATTTTGTTCTTGATATTCACAGATAATAATATCCTCAGGCATTTTTAGAAATGAACTAATAGATAAATTCGATTTTTCACATTTTAATCGTTTGATATGATCTCGATCCAAATTACATGTGTGCACTTGGTTAGATGGTACTAATGACAATTTATCGATGTTAGATAATTGTGGTAGACACCAATCAATATATCTCTGTAAAAAGATACGAAAGTGTTTGTATAATATGAATACCAATAGTCACCTTTGTTCCTAAATATTGTTCAATTTTGATAGGATACTCTTGTTCTATTTTTTGTAAACGATTCATTTCCGTGAGTGCTGGTTTAGATACCTATTTATGTTAATTTATAAGTTGATAAATATCGTAGTAATATCTGTTACTTTGAAAGATTTGCGATCATATGCCAATATGATAATATCGCTTAATTTTCGTGTACGACTAAGAATTGTATAAAACATACCAGGTTTCCAGTTTGTACCAGTAAGATCAACAGCTAGTTTATTATATGTCATACATTGTGAACGATGAACTGTTATAGCATAGCCAAGGTTCAGTGGAAATTGTCGTCTTGTCATGTAAATTCCGTTTTTATCTTTAAAACTGACTTCTTCTGGAAGCATTTTGTAAATTGATTCATCAACTAATTCTTAATAAATACAATAGATAGCGTTACGGAAAATAATATTTTTACTACACATTACTGAGTTCAATATACTTAGGCAATGCTGTAGTTATTGCTTGATCTAGATTCGGAAATACACACTGATTAGACATTGGTAATATAATAGTATCAATATTATCCCAAACAATATCGTTTACAGTTGCTTCAGTTCCGTTTACCATCGAGCCATCAAAATCAATATTTCGTCGGCAAATTACACGAGCACCTATGCATATTGGTAGCTGTTCAAACATTGATCCACATTCGTTTTCATCTTGGGAAGGTTTTAAAACAATTTTACATTCCTTATTACTGGCTTTGATTGGATTGAAAAATGATGATCTAACCATACCAATTTTCTAAATATAGTTATAAACATTGGTAAATATTTTTTTTTAAGTAGTTAACTAACATCGATAGATTGAATAATCCATATTGGTGTTTTTAGTTTCATAGCTATTTCTTTTAATTTAATAGAATTTCTCTGATATGTTTTAGATCGGACACTATATGTATAAATACTATTTTCAAACTCAATTGATTGTAATTCAGATAATCTTTGTTTGTAGTACTCTGGATTGTCTTCTCTTCGAATACTTCTGTTTTTTATTTGTATTTCATCGTCTTCATTGTATTCACCTGAAATTGATTATAGTATGATAGTTCCGATTTATAAATGTTAAGTTACCTAATCTCATTTGACACAGAATGTCAAAAAAAGTTCTATCTTCACCTTGTCGCATATTGATATTGAAATTGATTGGTCTGAATAAATCAGACCAAAGAGAAAAAGTTTCACCAGTAGGTGCCCAGAAAATTTGCTTTGCCGCCACTGGTTCACATTGAGCCAGATCTCCGAATAGTAAAACTGAAATGTTTCCAAAATAAACATCAGTTTTATCGGCTGTTTCGAAGATTTCATTTAAGCGTTTGTTATTTTTTGAAAAAGACTGTGTGAGACAAGTGAGATTTCATCAATAATTATTAAAATTAAATCGCCAAGTATCTCAAAGTGAATGTATTTTAAATGATGGAGCATTATTCGGCGTTGAAGTATTATCAGGACGCTAATTATTGATTGTATAAAATTAGTTATAATATAAAATATAAAATACATTAATAAATTACCATTCCGAGAGCTGTATGAATAGTCCAACCGAGAATATTCAAAGCAGCTTTGCCAGTGTGAGCCATTTTAAGTAATCCTTTCTTCTACGCGGTCGATTTCTAACAGCAGATTCACTAATGCAAAAGTCACTTAACATTTGTTCAATGATTGCGATGACATAAGATTTTCCTGAGCCAGCTAAACCATTTACAATAATGTGAAAAGGAAGGGGTTTCGACATATTTTTTTGTTGAATTTGATTTTGTTCGTAGATCATTAATGCTAGAAGATATTGTCGAAAAAATTTAACTAAAAACTGTTGTTGTATATTAGCTGTTTTAAGTAATTGTTCTGTTTTAGAAGATTTGGCATTCATTTCTATGTCATTATTCAAATACATGTATGCTTTATCTTCGCTCGTAATTTTTTCAGGTAAAAACGTTTTAGACGCATCAGTAGTATAATTATCTAAGTTTGTTTGATTTATCTCTTCGGTATTGTTATTTGTTTCATCTTCAATATTTTCTTCATCTTCTGTTGTAAATATAAAAGATGTTCTTGGTTTTATTAAAAAATCATGACTATTCAAATCACATAAATGTTCAAGTGCATTAATCATTTGTACTTTGTATGCTCCAGGTAAAGTAGAGAACTGGTTCAGTAACTGTGCTTTATATTTTAATAAGATTTGATGGATAGCTTTTATGTCAACCTCTTGAAAATTAATATAAAATTTAAGATAAATGTATGTTTAAGATTTCAAAGTTATACCTTGTTTACCATTAAGAAATTGTTCAATCGGATCTCGATACGATACTCCAATAGAAAGAATTGAGTAAATTGCTAACATAGAATCATCATAACGACAAGTAAAACTAATACATGCTGGTTCTTTATGTTGAATTAGTATTGTTCCACATGATAAGATGATACGAGGAAGATAATTTGATGTTTTAAGTAAAGGTGATTGATCAAAAGTCGTATGCCAAAGAGGATTTTCCAGAAGTGATTGTTCTAACATATGTTCGGAATTGAGAGAAGAAGATCGATCAAAATCGAACCAAGTTAGAAATTCAAATAAAGTTAATTGATCAATAACAGACGGTGTATGTGGTCGTTTGACGTATCGATCAGTAAGTGATTCTACAAAGTCATCTGTAGTAGTAACTATAGTTCGTCCTCGTTTCAGTATTCTCTCTTCCTCCCACGGTAAAGAAATGTATAAAGTTTTACATCTGATCGATGAATGATAAAGAGGAATTCCTATAATTAATAAGTTCATAAAGGTTTTATATTGCTTTCGCTATACCTAATATAGTCCAAGAGGCTTCAACTTTACCAATTTGACGATGAGATAATACAGCATTACCTGTTTTGAGAAGAAGACTTTTTGCTTCAATTAAACTTGAACAAGTACAGTTTGACATTTGATAGACCAAATTTTTTTCCATCTGAGCATTCTTTGCTACATAAGAAAACAGATACTCGGCTGATGCCCACGGATCAGTTACTACTTGAATATCATGATTACAACGAAATGTTTTCAGAAAGTGTAAATTCTATGGAATTATCCGTCTGGACTAAAAAACAAGGCGTGATGAATAGTTTGAATGAAGGAATGGTACAAGAAACAGTTTTACAAATAAACTAATATCAAAAGCAATATGTACCTCTTCAGTTGATCTTTTTATGATAATGTCTCGATCACCTCGTGTCATTATTCGAGCTTCTTTGTATGTACGAAAGTGTGTTTCATTAGCTAATTCGAAAGGACTTCCAAACCGACACATTAATCACTCGAAAAATTGTTTTTTTTTGTTTTGTTAGTTGCAGAAAATCTGGATCATTCTTCGGATCTACTTGCTCATATATTTCGTTTTGATGTAAATAATTTTTATTGATATCTTTCATATGGTTTTGATTGCTGTGTTGTGATTGTATTTCATCTTTGAATTTACGCCCTCGGCGAATACGAATTTTAGCATTACCTATAAAAGCTACGATATCCAGTTATAGATTTGAAAAATATTTCGTACTAGCCTGTTGAACATGTAAAAGTATGAATGTGATATTGATATTTTTTTACCAGTTTGTGACCTTCTGGGTCTGTTTGTTGATCTGGTACACTCTAAAAAAAATAGGTTTTTTACAGAACCTGAAAAAGGTTCTTATCCTCGGTACACCGTCAGATCCTTTTTTGGTTTTGTAAAAGTGAGGTTTCGTATCAACCCCCTTCACGAAAATTCAAAAAAAGGGTTTCGTAGCA